AAACCAATAAAATCTATCTGACAATAGGAATTTGGCAAGGCTGCCCCTTAAGCATAACAATGAACACCGCCAGCCGCTGACCCATTGGACCCATTTCATGCGGTAATAGACAATCCAAATACGTTGTCATTGTGTGGTACGGTCAATAACTGACTAAGCTCCTAATGAGATACAGGAAATGACGGATTAGGCCCGATCCCTTATCTCATAATCTGAAAAAAACTTTGCAAGATCAAAAAAATAAAGAGGAAGCCATCACGCTGGACGGAATACAAACTACGAATAAAAATAAAACGGCGAAATTCCAGGCGAAATATTAGATTTCATAGGATTCACAGAAAATTCAAGAATAATAATCTACCTCACACTTTACAGTCAAATAACGCCCGACTTTTGCGTAGCAAGAGAGTAGCATAGCACGAGAGAGGTCGAAGAACCGCTACAATAATTTGTATTAATTTTCAAGAAGTCATCACACAAAGTTTCAAAGTGAAAAACGAATCTCATAAAGCGCACAGTAAGGTTTTAAATAATTGAAAGTAATAGCCTTCTAGCGAAAATAACAATCTTTAACCTATGAAAATTTCAAAGCTATTGATCCAGTAAATAATGAGGAAAGCGATTTTTATATGTGGTAACAACAAGAAGAAATTGACCAACATGAACATCAACTTGATAACAAAACGATCCATAGGTCATTTCGTGTTCAAAAGCGATCTTTAGGTCCATTTTGTGTCCAAGAACAGAACTATTCCTGCATATAGATTATAGACAATAGAGCAGGGTCGGCCAGCCTTTTTGGCCGACGGGCCACATTTAGTTTACTAATAATTGCGCGGGCCACTTAACATGGTAATTATGTTCTAGTTTTGCTACACTGACCAAAAGTTAATTAAAAAACAAACAAAACCCTCGCACCAAACTTTCTCAATAATAAGAACAATAACGAAACGAAAATACAGTGAAGTCAACAAAGTTTTTTCCACACGTAGACATTTTAGTGTGAAGTTTGGCACTGTTTTTCGCTAAAAAGTTTGTCAATATTTGCTGAAAATGACGATGTAGCAATGCGAAGCGAATTTTCCATATGATTGTCAGAAATTAGTGATCTCACAGGGGATTTGACATGGTTCATCAGTGAAAAAGCTTGCTTGTACGAGTACGTGCTGCCAAATTATGAGGTCATTGAAACTGCCATTCTGCCCAAGTGTGTAAGCTACTATTTATGTATCGATTTCTTTCAGTTGGTGATGGCACTCATGGCTCGTTTGAAAGGGCTAGCAGAGCGCATTTCAGGAAAATGAACAAATTGTTTGTATTAAATCTTCATATTAACTACATCACTCGAAAATAAGAAGTTTTACTCAATTTTTTTTTATTTAATTCCGAAAATACAGCGCGGGCCACTCGAAACTCCTCGGCGGGCCACATGTGGCCCGCGGGCCACGGGTTGGACGACCCTGCAATAGAGGAACGGACTTTCAATATTTAATATTTGAATCATAACGAAGACGAAGACTGAGTGCTGTGTTAGCCGCTAAAGAAATTCCGTGATCACATCTCGATCAGAGTGGTCAGACTATCGGTACTGTGGAGAATTTGATAGGCTACTAACAATACTTCGTTTCGGCCTTTGTATTTATGTATTTGCTTATTACTTATCGATCTTAAGATCGTTACTTATCGATCTTAAGATCGGTAAGTATGTTGATGGGTATTTTGCCTGTTTGTTTGTCTGTTAGATACACGCGATATCTCACGAAAGATTTTCAATTTTTTGATCGTAGCCGGATTTAAGTTAATTTGTATGACGCAGTTAAGTGACGTCATAATTGCGCACTGTGACTTAGGCAAAAATGTGTCTATGACTTGGGGACATACGCAATTTTGCAACTTTACTGTATGCACCAGTCCTGAGAACTGAACATTCCAAAGCGAATGTAATTCTCAGTATCCACAATGTCTAATCCCCAAAATAGCTAATCTGTTTCAATTACATTATTTTTTATGTTTAAAAATATATTTCATCAATATAACACGCTCCGCACACCCACCGAAATGAGACTAAGCTTAAATATAAAGAATAAATAGCAATGTACCCAATATAAAAGCCAACCAAGGTGAATTGGACTCGGACCGTGAATATCACAAGTGCTGGTCTTCCCATACCTATACTATAATTCAAATTAAAACGCGCTAAGCTAGAATCTGAGATGCAAAAACTCGAAAATACTTCGCCGAGGTTATTTTGCCGTTGTGACGTCACAATACTCATGCGGTAACAATGATAATTCATTTTGACGAAACAAATGCACAAATGTGCATGTCATACTAAATCTAAATTTTTATGGGTTTCGGAATTCATAAAATAAAATCTGAGTGAACAGACGACAGGTGCGCGACATTACATATATACCTATTTTATAAAAAACTCAAAATCGCCAAAAATGACTTACGCAATTCGGTTATTAGCGTGACGATATTTCGTTTGTGCCTTTCGTGTTCATATAATTTAGTATTCGTCTCATGTTAATGTTCTGGATAAATTTTTTGCAGGTCATAAATAGGCTTGCACGTAATTGACAAAAATCAATTCCGTAATTACGGCCAAATCGATTACGTAATGACCCCGTAATTGCGATATTTTTGGTTTCCATATTTCCGCCAGTACTACACGCCGGCGACAGATGCTAAAGACAAATATCAAGGAGTGAATTCAAATTAATTTTATTCTGATTTTTATCTTTTGTGTTAGCTTTGATTTTCCTTTATCAACTTTATCACCCAATTTTATGCGATCAATTTTATCATTACCAGCACTGGTAAGTGGTAATATATTTATGAAACGATAGTTGACTTTTTTTAAATCGTATCAACGTATTAATACGAGTTTCGTATTAAATAAAAATTCCGGGTTTCTAATTTATAAATCAACGACGAGCGTATTCTCTCGTTTGATTATACTTGCGCTTGCCTCGCGACGAAGACTTGTTATTGTACCGTTTTTTTTTACATTATCCGACTTTACTACCTAGTTAGCATGTTATAATAATTACTGATGCCGACTTATTGACGATATGTCAAAGATAAATAAAGCACAACCGGTGTATAGCAAAACGATATAATTTGCCGACGTTTCGAATTTCTATTCAGAAAAACTTCATCAGAGCATGATATGAAGAGTACACTATCGTATATATATAGAGTAGAAAAATAAAAAGATAGTAAAAATTAAACGGCATTAAAAACTGAAAAAAAAAATCGTTTTGCTATACACCGGTTGTGCTTTATTTATCTTTGACATGAATATACCTGGTGGCAATCATGCGTTATTGACGATATTCCGATTACCATGCTTCATTTTACATTAAATCATTTCGCGGCCTAAATGTTATGACATTATTTGCGATAAATTTAGATCAAATGTTAATTATTTGCGCATAATTTAAATACCGTACTTATATGACATGCCTTCTCCGAAAATACAAAGTTATATCGCAAAACAATGCATTTGGTGACATTTATTTTGCACTCACGAAAATATTAACTTACTTTTCTAACTCAAGTCGACAATCCTATCGGCTAAGATTGACACAAGTTTGGTCGAGTGCCGGTGGTATTTGAGTCGACGATAAATCAAAATAAGTTGCCGCATTTGGTAAAGACATATTTGGCCGAAATAGTGCGAGGCATTGTGAAAACAAGGCCAAGGCCGGACAGATATATAACGATAAAACCGGTAACAGAACATCAAGATTTTGTAATAGAAAATGGATCTCGCGCAGAATGAACATGGGAAATCCCGTCTTTTTGTTGTTTCTCTGCCGTCTGAATCGCTTTACCGATGCCGAAAAGACTAAGTTGCGTTGGTTCATTACGCAATTTCTCTTCCGTCATCATATTGCTGTTTGATAAGCGCGATAATAATTATCACGGCATTTACAAGTAGACCATGTTTGGTAAGTTGATCTCTCACATTCTTTAGTCATTTCACCCGAAGAAGTTGAAACCAGGTGTGTTGGCGTTCATCGGTCTCAACACAATTCTATCCCATATCTACGCTCAATATGTACATTTGCCATGCTAGACAAGTTGATAATAGGTTAGTAAATGGCAACGCGTTATGCCTTCTCCATCTGCGTAACAAGAGAGAGAAAAACGGCTGCGAATACCGGAACTCTAACTTCTTCTACTTATTAAACTTTAATTTTTTACAATCGACGGAATTGACTGCTCTAAAGAGAGCTCGTTTGAATCGCGAAAGCGCTCCACCAATAATTACGAATTTACGTAATTCGTAACTTCGCTTCCGTAACTCGAAATAATTCCGTAATTCCGTAAATCCGTAAATTACGTGCAAGCCTAGTCATAAAATATTGAAATGTTTTCAACGGTATAACTTTCCCCATATCCCCCAAAGCAAGGTTCTAAATCAATATAATAACAGTCAACAAATAACCAGTATATGTTCTGTTGTATGTCCTCAGCTTCGTAAGCTCAATACGTGGTCTCAATTCAACTGTCATTGATTTTAAGGACCGACAGCAGGTGACGCTAGAACAAACAGGATTTGATTAACATCTGTGTTCTGTTTGTATTATTTCGTGACGACAATAACCATAATTAGAGCGCAGTGATATTTTGTCACTTGTTAAAAACAACACATCGTAAATTAGGTGGCAGTCCCTGTAATATAATAGAATAATTCATAAAAGCTTTTCCTAGTCTAAAACGTAAAATACTTCTTCTCGATATACCTTAAATTTCTTTTTAGTTCGATTTGTCTGGTTCTAGAAATTATTTCTATCTAAAACCTTCTGTCCGCATATTCCGAGTCCAAATCTTGTTAGCTTGCACGAGTCAACATTAAATATGGCCAATATCTATCGGTATTGAACGATTTTTCATCACCTTGCATCACTCAAAATTATCAGTGTATCTAATGAAGTATCAACCATTCTGATAATGCGATATATGAGCATTTATTGATTAATTAAAAAGTTAGCATACGACTGACTAGCTGGAGATATAGAAAATGCAGATAATGAAGACTGGAAGAGAATGAAAATGGGAGAACAGAAACAATGTATATATAAGTTCTTCTTATATATCATGTTTCAAGTTATCAGCCTGTACTAATATGCACCGCATATATCGCAGATAATCTCGTGGACCGAAAAAAGCTTGATAGTGTTAAATATTTTGTGAGTATATGTACATACAATTATATTTTTTAACAAGTCAATCAATTTGTAAAATTAAGTTGAAATCAGGTGTAATCAAGATATGCTGCCTATACGTTACATCAAAATTCAATATATTGTGCCACTTCTTTATAGTTTCAGATACAGATAGATAGTTTATGTCAATACCAAGTTGTTGAGTTCGTTGTAATCATTACATTCAAACAGGCATGTAAAAGATTCACTCTTTATCCAGACTAATTCATGTTCGACGACTATTTTGGAACTTGCATGGGAAACTCAGGGAAAATGATTATTTTGCCATTGCACTCGTATTTAAATCTTATAATATTTAATTCCCAAGATGTCGAGCCTGCTTCAGTTTCAGAGAAAAAAAGTTCTCCATTGTCCTCTGGAGCAACTACATACTGGCTATTCATGGTGCATTGTAAACTAGATCCCTTTCCATATTTATTGAGTTTAAAATTTCTGAAAAAAAAAATTTAAAAACACTGTTTATTACAGTTATCAACAATACATTATTTCCAAAATCTATACCTCAAAATAAAATTTAAACTATAATATATGTATATGTTATAAGTGAGCTTATATTCAATTTTCATTCAGTTTACAGTTTACCTGGAAATATGTCGCATTACTAATATCTCAATCATTGGTTGTTATGGTGACCGATGACTAACATATTTTTGAGTTATGAACGCTTAATCTAAATTTTAAATCAGGGTCGTCCAACCCGTGGCACGCGGGCAACATGTGGCCCGCCGAAGGTTTCCGAGTGGCCCGCGCGGTACTATTCGCAGCTCGATGTCTTTCACAAATCTGAGCCACTGTTGAAAAATTATTCCTCGTTCAAACGCGCGAGAAGCACCACTCAGCTATCGAAATCTTCATTAAGTCTCTTTGCGAGCGTTATTGCTGAAGAGAGATATTTGAATTTATTTTATCGTTTGTCATGTATTTCAATCTATTTTCCTGCCTTTTTTTCTGTGAAGCTGGAAGAGGCGGTTTTCATGACCTCAATATTTAACAGCACTTACTTGTACGAGCAAGTTTTTTCACGGATGAACTATATGTCAAATCCCCCGTGAGATCACTAATACTGACAGTCATATATGAAAAATTCGCTTCGCATTGCCACATCGTCCATCGCAGCGAATATTGACAAACTTGTTGGATAAAAGCAGTGCCAAACTTCACATTGAAATGTTTATGTGTGATAAAAACTTTTGACTTTACTGTAAATTCGTATTTTCATTGTTCCTATAATTTTGGTGTGAGAATTTTGTTTGTTTTTTCATTAATCTGTAATTGGTGTAGTGAAAATTAGAACAAAACTACCAGGCCATAAAGGTTGGACAACCCCGTTCTAAACGTACGAAAAAAGATTCGTTGACTCAATAAAACTTTGAAAGTTGAGAAAACAGCAAACCAATTCACTGGTAAGTGAGATGTATTGCAATGAAATCAAGTATTCGTTCCCACCCTTTTAATAACTATGATATTATCATATTGCCTAAGAATTTGCCTTAAATGCAGCCCATGCTGAATCACAAACGTCTTTGTCTATATATTAATACCAAGCAAAAATGGTGATTGATTGCTGGGAAATTACCTCATGTAATTTTTAGCATTGACGTGTACGGAAAGACAAACGGAAATCAAGACCTTTTTGTTTGCGCTAAGTTGCAGATAAGTTTTTAGGCACTTATAATCCCCACATCCGTTTAGTAATAAGCAGTTAAAAACCTCAAATTTTTATTACTACATGAATATTCGCTTCTCATATTCTGTGCCCAAAAGTTGCAAACAAATTGGGTTGTAAGCACACACTTAAGCTTATCGATCAAGTCTATTTAAAATATCGTTTCTTGTTTTATTACTCACGCTGCCACGGTTCCAAATTGCAGAGAATCATTGGCCTTTAAAGATTCAACCGCAATCTGAACTATCCTACTGTCAGTTGTAGATACAATCCAATCCTGTTCATCAGTGAGCTGTTGGGTTTGAATTTGATCATTCATTTTTGCTCCAGTACTCAACCATTTCTGAGAACTGGTCACTGACTTAATTTCAGCAATGCATGATTCAAGTATGCTGGAAAAAATATAAAAACTCTGAATTTGTCTATTTTTATTCAGGTGAAAACAATTTTCATCTGTGCGAGTGTTTTTTTCTCAAAATGTCCTGAATGATGTTTGCGCTGGCAATAAGGCGCACGCTGATGAGATAGGACTTAAACCTGATATTAAAATATATATGCTTAGGCACGAATTAATAATGGAATTAAAATTTTCGAATTCGTTCTTAGTACATCAGCAACACTTCCATAAAATCACATTTCACGTTAAGCAGTAAAACAGAACGTGACAATAAACTCATTCCGTGAACAAATGATCAGAACCTTTACCATCTTGTCCAATAAGAGATCAACTAGTTTGCAGTATAAAAACGACCACACCTAGACAAATAGCCGTGTACAGTTCCTGTTTGGATTCGAAAGCGGAAAATCAAATCAATCAATATACATTTTGCTGTGCAGATTACACACTGCCAAGAATTATTATAGATTCTAATAAACCAATTGGGTAAGTTCAATATTCAAGCACAACTACACATGGTCTTGAATGAAATAATTTTGGACACTGGACAAGTTCGCGTAAACATAATCCTACAAATAGTTAAAAATGAATACTAACGAATCAATCAATTCAAACGATGGTGAAAGGAACCAGTGCATTGCAAAGGTTGGGTTCTCGGTTATCACCATTTCCAACTTTTCTTCGTTATTGTACAGATATCTGTTTGTTGTCTTTTCAGCTCGCAGAAACACCCCGCGTTCAGGTTGAAGAAGCATCGAAAAATATCTTAAAATAAAAATAAACCTAGTCAGGTCGTATCTCAATTGATAGTGATGTATCAATTCCGAGGAGTAGATTGCGTACCACATACATTGCAGCTTTGACATGTACATTACAGTCAGTCCAGATCTGGAATCAGATTCGTTTTTCTCAATTCGTGGTTCAGAGGCAAAAGCAGACTAGATTTTTCATGTTTCAGTGACTGGTATTTGGGAGACAAAGCTCTTTCCCCCATTGACAGCAGCGTCCTTTGAGACATTAGTACCAACAACATTGGCAACGTAGATTAGATAATATATATATATTTTTTTTGCCATGTAATTCTCCCAACAGGGGTCCAACGTTTTTGAATTGGTCGCAAAAAGTTAGAAAAGCGTTTGCAAAAGTGCAAGTTACCATCTTAATGAGTGTATTTCAATTACTATAACAATTTTTTGGCTGTATTTTTCATCAGAAAATGAAACTGTTATTCCAATGGGATTTAGATTAGATCATTTCCGCAAAATCTCTGTATTTGCGTCACATCTTTAGGCTATTATTTTGGCAATATCAATGCGAAACTGCATGATCACGATTTTGCATGAAATAGCGTCTTCGTGTACTTGAACCAGACGGTGGGAATTAATATTATAACAATAATAATAAATTTCAATCACTGGAATGAATCAATATTATTATTTTTTCACATTAGGTAATTTTACTTTCAACATCTTAGATGGTGGATATGATTTATAAGGAAAAGGTGTAAACTTCTTGCAGTGATATTTGCAGAGTATATCAATGAAAGTCAAATTTATCTCCTCACCTCCCCTTCCCGTTATCGTCAGCGATATCGTCATCATATTCAAGTGTAACATCGTTGTTACTCTCGTTAAACGTGACGTACATTTTCTTATTATTCTCTGACATAATATGAAAACTCCACAACAATTCATCGTTAGCTTTCTCCAATCTCCAGCCTTCAACACCTTCGGGACTTAGTTGAACAGGAATATTGTCATGTAAAGATCGGTTGCTAGAAACCCATTTTCGCCCTTCCTTGTCCGCTAGTTCAAGTTCAATATAATTCTGGCAATCACGATTTTGTTCCATCTTGGATTTTATGGGATTGCATCCACAAATTTTCGACACTATTCTATTATTGTATTTCTTAGAAATTAAAATAAAAATTGATAAACTAGAATTTTCGGTTCCGATAGAAAAATACAAATGTACGTATTTTGTCGATATCACACTTGGAACGCAGACAATACCAATTTCATGATTTGGGATATTAGATAATAATTTTTGTTCTGAATTTTGACGTTAAAGTATCTTCAATTTTTATTAATCCAAAAGAAAGTCCCTCGGGTTATCGACAAAATTTCAAAATCAACGCTGATGATTCGTTTTGAAATATATGAATTAGATTTCATAGGATGTGAGTCATTATAAATATTTATATTTTTCTCGGTACGGACAGGAAAGTGCCCACGGTGACTAATACCGCCATCATAATGCTAAATGTACATTGTGTGGAATCATACTCTATATTCATCTTAATTTCCTCGGAATCTACAAGGTCTCGTACTGAACACATGCAACCATCACGTTTGTTTATTTTTCTACCTCCCTTTTGAAAAATAATCCCGCACAAAATTGCTCTGGCAACTGTCATCTGTAGAATTATTTGTTTTCACTTTTCTTTTTGATGAATTTTCTGCCAAATACCCCAATTTTCTCGCAAAACTGAATCATGAATTGATCGCAACAAAAAGTTGCCACCAATATATATTTTTTTAGACATTCCTAACCTTTTCTTATATTGATTTTGGTTGATTTTGGTTTGGCCTTAACTGTTGCATTTTGCGATTGCAGTCAGTTAAATTACAATTGCGCTTTATGGACGAATTATCTACAGAACGTTCACACATTATTTTCCACTCATTATGCATTTCAATTGAGACAAACTTGCGATTCCCATACTAACGAAAACTGGAAGTACAATTTCAGCTCCCATTATTTTAACTATTCGCTCCATAGAATACTTCCTTATGCACATATTGAAACCGATCCCAATTAGTTCCGTTTGGCTCAAGCGTCGGGAATGCATATACTTGGCGTGTTCTGAACAGCAATGCCGCAGTTTATACGTTTTCAGTCGTTGAAAATAACTGGGAATTGTGTGCTGTGTACATCCATAGCCGAATTCGTGGTGCAATTTGAAAGAGAAATACACTCCTAGTCAACAAATTGACGGTATCGCGTAATCACATGGCCGATGCCCATTTATAGATATTCTGTGACGAATAATTTCTCATCTTATGATGAATTACGGCATAATACTCGGCAGATACTGATAAAAGTTTTAAAAACTCTGGAAAATTGAGTATTTCAACTCAATCGTTCATCACATTTTCCAGTAATAATTCTTTATTTGTCCAACATCATTTTCAACTATAATATATATATATATATATATATTATATATATATACATGGACTACAACATGTTATTCAAAGGAAGCGCTTCGTCACAATTTGATACAAAACTTTCGGCAGACTGCCGGGATCAAAATTGACAATGGTCCCAAGCACTTATCTCTTATTGATATATTATTACGAGCTCGGCTCATCGGTCGTTATGGGCCAGGGGTGGGCAACCTTTTTCGGCTCGCGTGCCAAAATCGGCTAAATTTAACAACAAAATTCTTCCGCGTGCCGACCAAAATTAAAAACAGTGCTTTGCTACTTCCAAACCTACAATATATAATAATAAACCTTTTAAACATGTACAGAAGGATTCAATATTCGGATAAATATCAGTCCGACAAATAGATTTGATTACTTTTCTTATTCTATCAGTGAGACTTCTGCTGCTGCATTACCGCTGATAGAGATTTTACATTGGGTTTATATTTTGTATTTTCCAAAGAAATACACGAACTACTGGTTTCAACTCCTAAGCTACTCCTGTTACGAGACTTAGTAAATAGTAAAGACTTAGTAAAAAGACTTAATAAAGTTCCAATCATAACTGAGAACAAAGATTCACAAGACTCCAAATTCATTTCTATAATTGCACTCAGCGTTCGTCCTCAATGATCGCACAATATCTTTCGAGTCCGTCGAACAGAACGCTCAGTTTTTAAAGAAATAAAGAAAATTAACGTCGATGTGCACCAGGGTGCACGCCTTGACACATACGTAATAACAAGAACCGGCATTTGAATGTGGATAGATGACAGGAATATTTACACCAAAATCACGAAACATAATTTAGCCTATATATAATATATATATTTTATATATACCATAGTAAAAACATAAAAAGTCTGCTCACAAACTTTATAGAATGGCCGCAAAAAACAGTCTGGCGGGCCGCGGGTTGGGCAGTCTTGGTCTACATAGTAGTAGCCCTAGAAAACATTAAATTGGAAAGCATTAATAAACTGTGAGTTCTGTCAGGATCTAGCTTTTGATAATCCGATTATTTTACCACGTATATAATTTATTAATACTTCATAGATTCCAGGATTTTTAAATTGCACCCTCTATTTTCAAGCTGAAAGTTTCAAGTTAAATTTCAATGTTTGAAACTGATAAATAATATTGCAGGCTAAATACTAAAAGGTAAATTTAACGGAATGAATGGATAGCTGGTTAAAAATATAAAACTGCCGAAGACGTTGCGGCAGAAGTAGAGGTAAATACGACAAAGACTTGCGCATCGAAGAGGCGCGAGGGCAATGAGAAATACAATAGTAGGCATACGAAAAGAAAATATAACAAAAGTTTTCTGCGTACCGACATGTGTAACGACGGAGCAGCAGCAATGACATGATTAACAGTCGGATTCCATAAGAGAGTGCAATCTGCAAGTGATACACCTATTACTTTTAATCACTGTACGAGGTATGATTCATCAAGAGGCCTAGTAAGTAAAAATTCTCCTGATCTAAATGCATTTGTACAGAATGCTATGAAAGTTATTAAGAGAGTAAGTAAGTCAGTAAGAGTCGCGCACTCAATGCCCGGAAGAAGCCCTTCGCCTCGAATTATTCATGCGAGTCTGTATTTCAACTTGGCGTCGATCAAAACAAAATACACCAATTTTTATTGAAATTCAAAGAAATATGGTAGGCAGTGCATACCGCAAACAGTACGTATATATAATTGAATTCCTAAAATACTTATCAGAATCGATTCGTGCAAACTGCATGTTCCCGGAATTTAGTTGGTGTAAATATGCATTTTTTGTCTAGCCCATTTTACATAGAAGCCCGGTATCGCGAAATTACCTTTTGTAATCTATATGCTTGGTTATTACATTAGGGTTTGAAAGTATTCACGCATGTGTCTACCACCAAGAAGCATGCATAATGATGAAAAAAATTTGTAACAGATAAAATATAATTCTGGCAATCACGACTTTGTTCCATCTTGGATTTTATGGGATTGCATCCACAAATTTTCGACAATATTCTATTATTGTATTTCTTAGAAAATAAAATGAAAATTGATAAACTAGAATTTCCGGTTCCGATAGAAAAATACAGATGTACGTATTTTGTCGATATCACACTTGGAACGCAGACAATACCAATTTTATGATTTAAGATATTAGATAATAATTTTTGTTCTGAATTTTGACGTTAAGGTATCTTCAATTTTTATTAATACAAAAGAAAGTCCCTCGGGTTATCGACAAAATTTCAAAATCAACGCTGAATGATTCGTTTTGAAATATATGAATTAGGTTTCATAGGATGTGAGTATTTATATTTTTCTCGGTACGGACAGGAAAGTGCCCACGGTGACTAATACCGCCATCATAATGCTAAATGTACATTGTGTGGAATCATACTCTATATTCAGTTTAATTTCCTCGGAACCTACAAGGTCTCGTACTGAACACATGCAACCATTACGTTTCTTTATTTTTCTACCTCCCTTTTGAAAAATAATAACCGCACAAAATTGCTCTGGCAACTGTCATCTGTAGAAATGTTTGCTTTCACTTTTCTTTTTGATGAATTTTCTGCTAAATACCCCAATTTTCTCGCAAAACTGAATCATGAATTGATCGCAACAAAAAGATGCCACCAATAAATATTTTTTTAGACATTCCTAATCCTTTCTTATATTGATTTTGGTTCGGCCTTAACTGTTGCATTTTGCGATTGCAGTCAGTTAAATTACAATTGCGCTTTATGGACGAATTATCTACAGAACGTTCACACATTATTTTCCACTCATTATGCATTTCAATTGAGACAAACTTGCGATTACTATACTAACGAAAACTGATAGTATAATTTCAGCTCCCATTATCTTAACTATTCGCTCCATAGAATACTTCCTTACGCACATATTGAAACCGATCCCATTTAGTTCCGTTTGGCTCAAGCTTCGAGAATGCATATACTTGGCGTGTTTTGAACAGCAATGCCGCAGTTTATACGTTTTCAGTCGTTAAAAATAACTGGGAATTGTGTGCTGTGTACATCCATAGCCGAATTCGCGGTGCAATTTGAAAGAGAAATACACTTGTAGTCAAAAATTGGCGGTATCGCGTAATCACATGGCCGATGCACAATTATAGATACTCTGTGACGAATAATTTCTCATCTTATGACGAATTACGGCATAATATTTAGATACTGATAAAAGTTTTATAAACTCTGGAAAATCGAGTATTTTAATTCAATCGTTCATCACATTTTCCAGTAATAATCCTTTATTTGTCCAACACATTTTCAACTATAATATATATATATATATGACATGGACTACATCATTTTATTCAGTGGAAGCGCTTCGTCACATTTTGATACAAAACTTTCGGCAGACTGCCTGGATCAAAACAATACCTCGCGCCATGCCCTGCGCACGTACTTGCGGAAGCATTTTCTGTTAAATCGCCCACTATAGCTCGTATAATGCAGTTTATCCTCCAGATCAAAAAATAAAAGTCATATAGTAGGCAGCATTACGAGTATGGTATCATCTTTGGTTCATAGTTGTCAGTGCTGAACTTCAGATTCTGATATGACATTCGTTACCTGATTTTAATTGTTTTAAATAGGTTAACGCATAATGAGTAAACAATTTAGTCGTTTTGTTCGTAGTATCGGTGTACCTGCGGAGGAATGAAGAT